AACAAGAACAACACAAGACTTCCAGTACAGCACTGAATAGGAGTGATGAGACTCGGCATTTTTGGCTTATTCCCATTTTCAAGGGGGAACATTCTCAATCTTCATTGAGTATAATGTTGGCTTTTGGTTTTTCATAAATACCCCTAATCGTAATGAGGAACTTTCCTTATATTACTATCCTGTTGAGCGTTTTTATCAAGAACAGGTGCTGGATTTTATCAAATGCCTTTTCTGCATCAATTGAGATAATCATGTGTTTCTTTTCCTTTGTTCTATTAATGTGGTATATTACATTGACTGATTTTCTAATGTTGAAACAATCTTGCATTCTTGGAATAAATCCCACTTGATCATGATGTATAATTGTTTTAATATGCTTTTGGATTCTGTTTGCTAGTGTTTTGTTGAGAACTTTGTAATCTATATTTATAAGGAATATTGGTCTGTAGTTTTAATGTCTTGTGGTGTTTTTGTCTGGCTTTGTTATCAGGGCTTCATAGAACGAGTTTAGGGAGTATGCCTTCTTCTTGTAGTTTTTGGAAGAGTTTGAACAAGATTCGTGTCAGTTCTTCTCTAAATATTTGGTAGCATTTCCCAGTGAAGCCATGTGGTCCCAGACTTTTCTTTTTTAGGAGGCTTTTTATTACTGATTCTATCTCTTCACTTGTTATGGGTCTGTTGAGGTTTTCTACTTCCTTTTGAGTCAGTTTAGGTAGGTTATGTTCTTCTAGGAATTTGTCCATCTCATTAAAGTTATCAATTTCGTTGGAGTACAGTTGTTTATAGTATTTTGTTATGATCCTTTTTACTTCAATTGGGTCAGTTGTAGTGTCTCCACTTTTATTTTTTATTTTGGTTATTTACATCTTCTCTCTTCATTAATTTCACTGATTGTGTTTTTGTCTTTATTATTTCCTGACTTCTGTTCACTTTCATCTTATTTTTCTCTTCTTTCTCTAGATTCTTGTGGTGGGTGCTTAGATTATTGATTTGAAACTTCCTCTTTTCTAACAAAAAATTTAATACAATAAGTTACCCTCTCGACACTGCAATAGCTGTGTCCCCCATGTTTTGTTATGTTGTATTCTTATTCAATTTAATGTATTTTTTTAAATTTCCCTTGAGATTTCCTCTTTGATCAATGGATTGTTTATAAGTGTGTTAGGAGCCCTGGTGGCATAGTGGTTAAGAACATGACTGCTAACCAAAAGGTCAGCAGTTTGAAACCACCAATCACTCCTTGGAAACTCTATAGGGTAGTTCTACACTGTCATATAGGTTTGCTGTGAGTTGGAATAGACTAGATGGCAATGGGTTTTGTTTTGTTTTATTTTTTTATGTAGTTTTGAAGTGTTTGGAGTTTTTCTTGTTGCTTTTCTGTTACTGATTTCTAGTTTATTTAATTGTGGTCAAAGAACACACTTTGTATGATTTCAGTTCTTTTAAATTTGCTGAGTTTTTTTTTTTATCTATCACGGTGAATATTTTGTAGGTAATTTGAAAAAAGTGTCTTCTGCTGTTATTGGGTGACATATTAATCAAATATTGATTAGATCATGTTGGTAGTTGGTTTTTGATTTTATATCTAGTTGTTCTATCAATTGTTGAGAGAGGGATGTTGAAGTCTCCAACCACAGTTGTGGATTTGTCTATCTCTCCTTTTCCTTCTGTTTTTGCTTATGTATTTTGCACCTCTGTTGTTTGATGTATACACATTTAGGATGCTGTGTCTTCTTGGTGATTGACCCTTTTATTGTTATGTAATGACCCTCTCTGTTCTTGGCATTTTTTTTTTTTTTTTTTGCTCTGAAGTGTAATTTACTTTAATACAGCTACTTTTATTATTATTATTTTTGATCAATGTTTGCATGCTGTATCTTTTTCCATCCTCTTGTAGACACCATATAGCTGGGTTTTGCAATTTTATTCTCTCTGCCAATCTGTCTTTTAACTGGTTCTTTTACACCACCTAATTTAATGTAATTATTAATATGTTAAGATCTAAGTTTGCCGTATTATTATATGTTCTCTCTGTTTTGTTTGTTCTCTTCGCTTTCTATTTCTTTTTTTTTCTGTCTTTTTTCGTTACTTGAACATTTTTTCAAAGTTCTGTTTTGATTTATCTATGGTAGTTTTATGTATAGCTTTTTTTTTCCTTAAGTAGCTACTCCAGGTATTACATTACATAAACATAATTTATCATAGTCTACTAGTATCAACATTTTACCAGTTCAAGTGAGGTGTAGAAACTTTACATCTCTTTACATCATTTTACTCTTTCCCATTTATGTAGTTACTCTTATACATTCCTCTACATATGTTGAGAAACGTATTAACCTGTTGTAATTTTTGCTTTCTTCCTTTCTAACGTTCCAAAATTCCTTCTTATATAATTTCCTTTCTGTTTAGAGAATTTCCTCAAGCCATTCTTTGAGAGTGGGTTTATTGGCAACTAATGCTGGTAGAGTTTCTTCGTTGGCAAATGTCTTCATTTCCCCTTTATTCTTGAAGACTATTTGCACTGGATACTGAATGCTGGATTGACAATTCTGTTTTCAGTACTCTAAAAATGTTATGCCACTTCCTTTGGGCTTCTGTGGTTTTTCATGAGGAATCTACTTTCATTTAAATTGTACTTACCTTGTAAGTAATATGTTGTTTCTCTCTGGCCGCTTTCAAGATTTTTTGCTTTGTTTTTAGTTTTCAGAAGTTTGATGTGTCTTGTCATGTATTCCTTTGGGTTTATCCTGTTTGGAATTTGCTCAGCTTCTTGAATCTGAGTTTATGTCTTTTGTCAAATTGGGAAAAATTTTAGCCAGTTTTTTTTTTTTTTTTTAGTACTTTTTCAGCCCTACTTTCTTTACATTTTCCTTTTGGGACTCTTGTGTCATTATTGTTAGATCTTTTCTTATAGTCCTATTTTTTTCCCAGCCTATTTCTTCTTGGTCATTCATACTGGATAATTTATATTGTTCTATAATCAAGTTTATTTATTCTTACCTTTATCTTCTCATTGTTGAGATACAATAAATTATCTTCGTTTATCTTCTCATTGTTGAGATACAATAAATTATCTTCCTTTATCTTCTCATTGTTGAGAGAAGATAAAGGAAAGAAGAAATGAACTTGATGAGTTCATCCATTGAGGTTTTTTTATTTTTTTATTTTTCTTGTTGTTGTATTTTTTAGTTCTGAAATTTTCATTTGGATTTTCTTTATATTTTCTATTTCTCTGCTGAGGCTTTATACATTTAAAAAAATGTTTCTGATATTCTAATTTCTTTGCCTCCCATAAAAATTTTAAAGTCTACTTGTCTGTATTCACAAAAATTCCTACTGCGATTTTGATTGGGATTGCATCACATCTATGGATTAATTTGGGAGAAAATTAACATATTAATTACACTGCATTTTTCAATTCATTAACATGGTATGTCTCTTCATTTTTTTAGGGCTTCTTTAATTTCTTTCATAAGCATTTTGTAGTTTTCAGCCTACTATGCATGTCTTGTTAGACTTAAAACTAAGTATTTCACATATTTTAGAGTTATTGTAAATGGTACTTAAAAAATCAGGTTCCAACTATTTATTATTAGTGTACAGAAATATGATTGATTTTTAGTTTGTTTTTTTTACCCCCTTTGAGATTCCTTAGGATTTTCTGTGTAGATAATCATGTCATTTACAAATGGGGGACAGTTTAATTTCTTCCTTTCTAATTTGTATGCCTATTATTTCTTATTCCTGCCTATGGCACTGGCTAGGACTTCCAGTATGATGTTAAACAGGGATGATGAAAGGGACGTCCTTGCTTTGTTTCCTATTTTAGGAGAAGGATTCAGTCTTTCATTATTAGCTATAATGGTTCCCTACATTTTTTTATAGATTTCCCTGATCAAGTTAAAGAATTCCCTTCTACTGCATTTGTTGAGAATTTTGTCATGAATATATATTGCATTTTGTCAAATACTTTGTCTGCGTCAATGTATATGATTATGTGGTTCTTCTTCTTTAGACTGAAGATAGTCTCTTTTTAAACACAATAAAACTATAATTTAGGCTAAATCATCAATAAATAAAAGCCAAGATTTCCAAGAGGTTCAGCTTTATCCTATTTTATGTCTATAAATTGGTATCAAAAGTCCATTTATTGGGATGCATAGTGATAGTGCAGTGAAATGCCATCAGCTTAATATCTTAGTAAATTTGACAAATATCCTGGATCTCCTGAATTTACTACCAGTTTCTTCCTGTATGTTTAGCCCATTGGTATTTATTATCCTCGAAGGAGTGACATTCTTCAAATCTGTTTATTTACATACTCTGCTCAGCTGTTCAGCATCTTCATTTACAATAAAACTTTATTCCTCAGTAAATCCAGTTCCTTCTATTTCACTTATATTTTTTACTTGTTCCCAGAACAGAAAGGGTTTATTTTATATAGACAGTTAATACAGACATGACTGGTAATTAAATTTTATATTATTATTAAAGTCTAATTACATAATAGCCCTCTAAGTTCCAAGCACTAATATTTTTAGTTATTAGTACTCACAAATCTTGCTGGACCCTGTTTTATTGATTTTACTGTATTTCTAAACATTGACATTCATAAAATTCCCTTCTATGCCTATAGAGCAGGTAGCTCAAAGGAACTTTTGAAGATTCTGATCAGTCACTGTTAAGTATTTTTCTGATTAACGTTCTCCTTTTAATGTATTCTAGTGCTATAATATATCTATTTTTGTGAATTACTTTTTATATTATTTAAAGATAGCCAAATTGAAATGAATTGTATGAAGTGTGCAAATATTTTATTTGTAGAAACTACAGATATTTAAATTACCTAAATATATTATTTTCAGCACTGTGAATATTTTACTTTTATTTTTGCTGAGTCTGTTAACTAGTATAATTCTTTTGCCTTACTTAAAAAATTATTTAATTCTTGAAATTTTAAGAAATCTATGTAACTTGACTTTCTTTTTTTATCGTCTAAGATTGTAGATTCTGCTCATCTCCCAGTTCACACACCAACAATACGGAGAAAGAAATATCATAGTAGAATCCTGTTTCCACCTAAGGTACCTGATTTAGTTATAAGGTCAGCTTAAAAGATGAGAATAAGTTACTTTTACTGTCTGTTCTTGCCTTGGCATTTTTCAGAGTTGCACATATCAAAGCTCAGGCCAGATTAAAAAAATAATAAACACTACAAAAAATATTACACTTTAAATAACTCTTGTTAAACTTGGGAATAAACCAAAGAAAGGGTTGGAATATTTAGTGAAAAATTCAAGGGGACTGTTTTTTTTTTCCTATTGGTTTTCTAGACAATGGTGTACTAATGTTAGTGCCTTAATCTTCCCCTTGAAACTAATTTAAAGGCTCTACATTTCATACCTTACACTGGAATAGGAACCCAGGTGGTGCAGTGGTTAAGCGCTCAGCTGCTAACCAAAAGGTCGGCAGCCACTCCTTGGAAACCCAATGGGGCAGTTCTACTCTGTCTTATAGGGTCTCTATGAGTCGGAACCTACTCGACAACAACGGGTTTGGCTTTTTTTTTTTTTTTTACATTAGGGAAAGTTCTAAAATCATCTGAAAGTTAAATGTAAAATTGAAGCTACTAGAAATGTACTAGAATGTCTTAAAACCTTGGAGTGGAGAAAGCTTTTCTTGGGTTTTAAACCACATGAATGTATTTAAAAAAAAAAACATTAAAAATGACCAAAATATTTGAAGCATTCCTCTCCATTAGGAATAGAAGAAAATTCATAAATATAATAAAGACTGCTTCCCAAAACCTAATAGCAAATATTATCCTAAATTATGAAACACTGAAACTTTTCAATTAAAGTCAGGAATGGTATAAAATTATATCACCATTAACCAAAAAAAAAAGAAAAAACCCAAACCCTTTGCCACTGAGTCAATTTCTGGCTCGTGGCGTCCCCATGTGTGCAGAGTAGAACTGCTCCATAGGGTTTTCAAGGCTGTGACCTTTTGGAAGCAGATGGCCAGGCCTGTCTCCCAGGTGCCCCTGGGTGGGTTTGAACACCAACCTTTCGGTTAATAGTCAAGTGTTTAACTGTTGTTTAACTGTTTCTTTAATATTTTAGAAACTGCAATAAACCAAAACCAAACTTTTTGCTGCTGAGTCGATTCTGACTCACAGCAACCCTACGGGACGGAACAAAACTGCCCCGTAGGATTTCCAAGGAGCGGCTGATGGATTTGGACTATCAGCCTTTTAGTTAGAGCCGAGCTCTTAACCTCTGTGCCACCAGGGCTCCCAGAAAATGCAATAGGAGATGAAGACTAAGTGACGACTGGAATAAACATTGAAAGATAAAACTGTTTCATAATATGATTGATATGGTTGTTTGCCCAGAAAACCTAAGAGACTATGGTTTTAAAATTCTACTAAAATTAAAAAATAAGACAATATACAAACATAACCCAGGTCATCTCTATTACCTAATGAACGCCTGGAAAAGGAACTGTAAAGATTTATACACCAACATTGACAAAAACTTATTAAAGAAAACTAAGAATAGTTTTCTATTAGTATGAAACATGATGAACTCCCCACGTTGTCAAAATTAATAAATTAATAATTAAGATAGTACCAATTATAACACCAAAACGCTGGCTTTCTTTCTCTCTTTTTCTTCCTTCCTCCCTCCCTCCCTTCCTTCCTTCCTCCATTTCTTTTGGCTTTTAGTTAAACATGGTAGATTCAACAATGCTTATATTTCTGCTTTCTACTGTAACCCCAGTAAAGAAAGAAACAAGAGCAGACAAATAAGTTGATATCATTTTGGAAGACAAAAGCCCGAGGGAGGGGTTAGCAGAGCTGAGGAATCTGAATATCAAGTGCTTAGGGAAGATGTGCCAAAAAGTTGCAGAACAGTGTCTCAGAACCCTAAAAAAACTCAGGGATCAGAGGCACCGGGTTCCTCAGGAGGGAGGGGTGACATTTAGTGCTGAAAACAGGAGAGTTACTTGGGGATCTCTGTGAGGGCAGGTAGAGCCCCGTGCAAGAACACCAAGTGCTATAGCAAGTATTATAATCGATGTGTTTCCTCATCTGTGAGAACCCATTTTACAGATGAGGAAACAGAGACTCAGAGAAGTTGAAAAAATTTGCCAACTATTAATTGTTGGGAAGATATTGTTATAATTTATATATTGCTACTTTATGCTAGCAATTCATTTGGGGGCAGAAAGGCATGAAACAGAAAAGGTAAATTCATAGTGGATTACCAATCTGTAGATACTTGCATTTTTAGTTATTGAGAAATTTCAGGACACTTTCTGTTTTGAAAATAGTACATGCTTTCGTCTGTTCAGGAAACCGTGGTGTCCTAGAGGTTAAGAGCTACGGCTGCTAACCGAAAGGTCAGCAGTTCGAATCCACCAGTCGTTCCTTGGAAACTCTATGGGGCAGTTCTACTCTGTCCTATAGGGTCGCTATGAGTCGGAATCGACTCCACGGCGGTGGGTTTGGTTTGGTTCTTCTGTTCAAGTGTACGGCTTGTTTTATAGGCAGTTACCAATTCATGAAGCATATTATTTTTTATTCATGAAGCATATTATTTTTTATTGATAGTAGAAAATGATATACGTGATTTTCTGTGGAGATAAAAAATTGAAACGATTCTTCTTTTACAAAGAAGGTATAAAAACATACTGTTTGTGGTTATGAAGAGCATAACAAAAGTACACATATGTAGGTAATTCACACTTGATCCATTATTAAACTGTATTTTGAAGATTTTATCTATCTAGAAAGCATCCTTTCAAGTGTTCAGGATATATCAGCACAAATAAAGGCCAGATTTTGTGTATTTGGTTCCAAAGAACATTAACGAACATTTGATTACCACTTAATTTTTTTTTTTTTTTTGTTAATTTTAGTATCTCTCGCTCCGCATTTTCCAATTAGGAAAAAATTAAGGGGCGTGAATTGTAAAACTAAAAATCGGTATCCTTCAGACTTACTGGAGCTTAATAACTGAAAGAGGAACCATCCCGCTCTTAAGGAATTAAACTGCTCATAGCTAACTGACTGACCTTGGGTTTACCGCTTCCTGAGACCCACAGAACATTCCATGCCTAAAATAACAGTTCCTCAAGTCATCCACACTACTGTCGTAGGAACCCTCGCGATCAACAGCTGACTGCATTTATGTCTTCATGTTATCTGAACAAACTTCACCCTATTTTGACAAACGTTAAATTTTAATTAACTCTCTATACTCTTAACTTCCTTATTCTTGGTATATAAACCCCTGATTTTTTTTCTTGTGGGTGGAGTTCGTTTCTACTTTTGGTTTGGATGCTGCCTGATTGATGAATGTTTGGCCCTGCTCCAATAAACTCATTGTAAATTTGAAGTTTACCTCAATCTCTGAAATTTTCTTTGACGGAATCTTAAATGCTGGCGAGAAAGGGATAGAGCTCCTTTTCTTGGTATATAAAATGATATTTTGGGCAGAGTGGGTTTGAAGGAATCACCAAAATCACCTTTTCAACATTATTTAATCATCTATCTGGAATAGGCAAATGTATCACTTCTCAGCCTTTTCGCTAAGATCATGGGTAGGGTAGGCAAATACACAGAGATGAAAAGGAGGAATGGGGTTATTGCTTAAAAGACATAAACAAAAAACAGCAATGGAGCTCAGAAGCTGGGAGGAAGGGCTCTTACAAATGGTGAAAGGAGTCTGAAGGGACCCGGGTGGAGAAAGGAGTGGTTTAGTCACTGATGTGTTTTTGTCTCTTTGTTCTGCAGTGTAAGACACACCAGTTCTTCCTCACCTCCTTCACGGTTCCCACCAGATGTCACCAGTGCACCTCCCTGATGGTGGGTTTGATAAGACAGGGCTGCACTTGTGACGGTAAGGCCGCAATGGGAGAGATGGGTGAATTCAGGGTACTAATGCTTACACCCAAATGTCCTCTTTAACTTGTCCAAGCATGACGACGAGCTGACAACCTTATTGAAAACCTCATTGAATCTGCTGTATATGGGAAACATCGCACTGATGGTCCTTGGGAATATTTGGGGGGCCTCTGCACTTCACAACCCCAACTGGCCTCATTCACCTCACAATCTGTGTCAGTGGTACCCCCAGGATATGTGCAGGGAGGGCCTGCAGGCAACAGCACATTTATTAAGGAAGTGGATTTAAATATAGTCTGTTCTCTGTAGCACTAATAGAGTGAGTTTGCGGACCAAATTTACTAGCTTATGTGACAGGAAAATGGAATGCTCTCCTTGGGTTGTAATGTTTTTTTTTTTTTTTCCCTTGAGTTGTAATTGTTTTATATTACTCATTTTATTTCTTATAGAAAATACAGTTGAAATAAAACAATATATTTTTGAAAATATTGAACAATCCCTGTGTCATAAAAGACATTTCATTCTTTGTACTAGAGAACAGATTCTCTTCCTACTTGTTCATATTATTAGTTAGTCAAGTTGAGGGCTCACTGCCTGCCAGATCCTGGGATAGGTGTTGGGGACACGGTGCCCAGCAAGACAGATTTCCTGGCCACTGCGGTATGTCAGCCAGAGTCCCCTTAACCATAAATGTCGTTTTAGCTCATTAAATAAAATGGGATCTAAAATGGGGGAATTAACCAGTTGTTGAGTTGACTCCGACTCACGGGGAGTTAAGCAGTTGCGTATCAGAGTAGAACTGTGCTCCACAGGGTTTGCAATGGCTGGTTCTTCAGAAGTACATTACCAAGCGTTTCTTCCAAGGAGCCTCTGGGTGAACTCCACCCTCCAACTAAGGGCACTGGCCGCACCACCCAGGGACTCCCATGGGCAATGAGGTCCTTAATAAAATCACCTCTAGGGCTGCAGAGGCAAGCTCTGAGCTGAGCTCCCAGGGGCTGCCCGCCACATGACTCTGCCTCTTCTGGTCTTGGGAAAGCTGCTACTGCTCTTACAAAAAGATGTTCCCTCAGGAAGCTGCCACCACTGCTGCCACCCTCAGAGTCTGCTCCTTCTGCCAGGACCAGGAAAGATGCTGCTGCTGCAGGTTCTGCTGAATCATGACCTCACTGGCAGAACTAAGAAATCACCCACTGTCTTAGTCATCTGGTGCTGCTGTAACAGAAGTACAACAAATGGGTGGCTTTAACAAAGAGAAGTTTATTCTCTCACAGTCCAGGAGGCCACAAGTCCAAATTCAGGGCATCAGTTCCAAGGGAATGCCCCCTCTGTTGGCTCTGGAGGAAGGTCCGTGTCATCAATCCTCCCCTGGTCTGGGAGTTTCTTTGTGCAGGAACCCCAGGTCCAAAGGATGCGCTCTGCTCCTGGCACTGCTTTCTTGGTGGTATGAAGTTCCCATGTATCTCTGCTTGCTTCTCTCTTTTATATCTCAAAAGAGATTGGCTTAAGACGCTATCCAATCTTGTATACCTCATCAGCATAACTGCCGCTAATCCATCTTATTAGATCATAGTGATTGAATTTACAACATATAAGGAAATCACATCAGATTACAAAATGGTACACAATTATACGATCCTGGGAATCATGACCCAGCCAAGTTGACAGATATTTTTGGGGGACACAATTCAATCCATGACACCCACCAAATCGGGCAGCCCCTACTCCCTCTGGCTCCACACCACTAAAACGAATACTCTGCCTCCTGCATCTCTCCCAGCTTGACTCAACTCAAAGTCTCACACAAAGTCATCTTAGCTGCAGGAGAGCCTAGGCAGTGTCGTTTTTAGCATGTCAGCCTCTGCAACAGTAGAAGAAATTATAATGGAGGGTGAAGGAGTCAAACCATTGTCTCTACCACAATCGTATTTTTTTATTTCCTCCAAAAAGCATGTGGGTTCTCATGTCACACGACCTGTGTAGGAAAAGCTCCAAGAGCGTGTCCGGTGCCTTCCCAGCAGAAGAAAGCTGTCTGTCTAGACCCACAAGAAGGCATGGGGACAGCCTATGAAGGCCGTGTGTGGGTAAGTGTCAGTATTATGGACTTAGAGGAGCTCTTAAAAAGTTTATTAATCACTGCTTATTTTGTGAGCGCAACATTGGTCAGAAACATTATATGGCTGAAAAGAGCAATTGAAAGTTTCTGTTCCATCCTAAGACGATTTCAGAACAAAATTGAGCTGTCTCCAATAGGATATTCTGAAAAGTCTCGAAGTTTCCTGTTTCGTCCTTACCTTATGAGGTACAAACGCTGAGATCCCTACTAGTGCTACTTTGACTCCAGGTCGGCAGTTATACGTTATGTTATTGTCGTTAGGTGCCGTTGATCAGTTCCAACTCTTAGCAACCCTGTGTACAACAGAATGAAACACTGCCTGGTCCTGCGCCATCCTCACAATCATTGCTGTGTTTGGGCCCATTGCTGCAGCCACTGTGTCAATCCATCTCATCGAGGATCTTCTTTTTCACTGACCCGTACTTTACCAAGCGTGATGTCCTTTTCTAGGGACTGGTCCCTCTTGATAACATGTCCAAAGCACATGAGACAAAGTCTTGCCATCCTCGCTTCTAGGGAGCATTCTGGATGTACTTCTTCCAAGACAGATTTGTTCATTCTGCTGGCAGTCTACGGTACATTTAGTATTCTTTGCCAACACCAAAATTCAAATGCATCAATTCTTCTTTGATCTTCTATTATTCAGTGTCCAGCTTTTGCATACATATGAGGCGATTGAAAATACCATGGCTTGCATCAGGCGCACCTTAGTCTTCAAAGTGACATCTTTGCTTTTGAACAGTTTAAAGAAGTCTTTTGCAGCAGATTTGCCCAATGCAATGCATCTTTGGATTTCTTGACTGCTGCTTCCATGGGTGTTGATTGTGGATCCAAGGAAAATGATGTTGCTTATTGGTCCAGTTGTGAGGAGTTCTGTTTTCTTTATGTCGAGGTGTAATCCATACTGAAGGCTGTGGTGTTTGATTTTTATCAGTAAGTGCTTCAAATCTTCTTCACTTCAGCGAGCAAGGTTGTGTCTTCTGCATAATGTAGGATGTTATTGACTCTTCCTCCAATCCTGACGCCCCGTTCCTCTTCCTATAGTCCAGCTTCTGCGATTATTTGCTCAGCATACTGATTGAATAGGTATGGTGAAAGGATACAACCCTGATGCACATCTTTCTTGATTTTAAACCATGCAGTATCCCCTTTTTCTGTTCCAATGACTGCCTCTTAGTCTATGTACAGGTTCCTCATGAGCACAATTAAGTGTTCTGGAATTCCCATTCTTTACAATGTTATCCATAATTTGTTATGATCCACACAATCAAAGCCTTTGCATAGTCAGTAAAACACAGGTAAACATCTTTCTGGTATTCTCTGCTTTCAGCCAAGATTCATCTGACATCAGCAATGATATCCCTGGTTCCAGGTTCACTTCTGAATCTGGCCTGGATTTCTGGCAGTTCCCTGTCAATGTACTGCTGCAACCGTTTTTTAATTATCTTCAGCAAGATTTTACTTGCGTGTGATATTAATGATATTGTTCAATAATTTCCACATTATGTTGAATCACCTTTCTTTGGAATGGGCACAAATATGGATCTCTTCCAGTTGGTTGGCCAGGTAGCTGTCTTGCAGATTTCTTGGCATAGACAAGTGGGCGCTTCCAGCGTTGCATTTGTTTGCTGAAACATCTCAGTTGGTATTCTGTCAATTCCTGGAGCCTTGTTTTTTGCTAATGCCTTCAGTGCAGCTTGGACTTCTTCCTTCAGTACTGTCGGTTCTTGATCATATGCTGCCTCCTGAAGTGGTTGAATGTTGACCAATTCTTTTTGGTACAGTGACTCTTTGTATTCCTTCCACCTTCTTTTGATGCATCCTGCATAATTCAATATTTTGCCCATAGAATCTTTCCATATTGCAACTCAAGGCTTGAAATTTTTCTTCGGTTCTTTCAGCTTGAGGAGTGCTGACCGTTTTCTTCCCTTTGGTTTTCTGTCTCCAGGTCTTTGTACATTTCATGATAATACTTTACTTTGTCTTCTCTAGCTGCCCTTTGAAATCTTCTGTTCAGCTCTTGTACTTCATCATTTCTTCCATTCGCTGTAGCTACTTGATGTTCAAGAGCAAGTTTCAGAGTCTCTTCTGACATCTCTTTTGGTCTTTTCTTTCTTTCCTGTCTTTTTAATGACCTTTTGCTTTCTTCATGTGTGATGTCCTTGATGTCATCCCACAACTCATCTGGTCTTTGGTCATTAGTGTTCAATGCATCAAATCTGTTCTTGAGATGGTCTCTAAATTCAGGTGGGATATACTCAAGGTTGTACTTTGGCTCTTGTGGACTTGTTTTAATTTTCTTCTGCTTCAACTTGAACTTGCATATGAGTAATTGATGGTTTGTTCCACATTTGGCCCCTGGCCTTGTTCTGACTGTTGGTATTGAGCTTCTCCATCTTGTCTTTCCACAGATGTAGTCGATTTGATTCCTGTGTATTCCGTCTGGCAAGATCTATGTGTATAGTTGCCATTTATGTTTTTGAAAAAAGGTATTTCCAATAAATAGGTCGTTGGTCTTGCAAAATTCTATCATGCGATCTCCGGCATCATTTCTATCACCAAGGCCATATTTTCCAACTACTGATCCTTCTTTCCACCTTTTGCATTCCAATCACCAGTCATTATCAATGCATCCTGATTGTATGTTTGATCAATTTCAGACTGCAGAGATTGGTAGAAATCTTCAATTTGTTCATCCTTGGCCTTAGTGGTTGGTTTGTAAATTTGAATAATAGTCATATTAACTGCTCTTCTTTGTAGGCATATGTACTTCAGGATAGATCTTGAAATGCTTGATAGAAGCATTGTACTTCAGGATAGATCTTGAAATATCTTTGTGGTAATGAATGTGATGCCATTCCTCTTCAATTTGTCATTCCTGTCATAGTAGAACATATGATTGTCTGATTCAAAATGACCAATACCAGTCCATTTCATCTCACTAATGCCTAGGATATCTATCTTCCAATGTTCCATTCATTTTTGATGACTTCCAATTTCCTAGATTCATACTTCATACATTCCACATTCAGATTATTAATGATAAATTGTAAGACTAATAGTAAGATAATATTTTTGAGAAATATTGAAAATTTGAGTTGATTTGAGCCATGGTGCTAACAAATTTAAATTCAATATTATCTACAGGCTGAGTTGTTACTGCTATTTTAAAGAGTTGCTAATATTAATTCATAATGGGATCATTTTTATTTCCACAGGAGTCATTCACCCTTCAAAGGAATTGCCTTGTCTTAAAATTTTTGTTTGTGTTATATAGTTCTGTTCTATATCTTTAACAAGAAAAGTGACATCAATAATGAAAAATTTTAATTATTTTAATTTCATATGTAATAATTGGGTAGTATTTGATGTTTCAGTTTGGATGTTTTTATGTTTCTTTTTAAAAAAATCAAAATGAAAGATCCCAAAGAAAGCAGGAGTGAAAAAAGGATGGCAAAGAGCATTGGGTATAGTTTGTGACTTCAAACTCTTCCTGTATGATATGGATGAAGAAAAAGCATCGAAATCCAGCGTTGTAGTGAGTCAAGTGATTGACATGAGGTAAGCTTTGGAAGGGATAAATTCTTTATAATAAAAATATGGAAATAAAAATGGTTCCTGATATTTTCTTTAAATGGTGTTGTCATTAAAATTTAACTTTGTTAAATTTGAAATTTTCTCCAGTGCCATATTTTCTCTATAAAATAGAAGATTTTTGCCTAAACTTTGCATCACCACCTTTTAGGTAGTTTATAATTCAATGTGATATTTATCAGATTTTTTTTGGTAAAAATTTTGTTTTCTAATTATTGATTTATCTAGATACAATTTTCACGTATATGTAACATGATTGTTAATATATATATATAAAGTGGTATATGTATGTATGCATGTATGTATGTATATATGTAGTAAGAAAGGAGATAAACCCTCAAACCAGACATTCTTTTTTAAAAAATTGAAAAATAATTCACACATCGTAAAATTCACCATTTTATATTGTGTGATTCAGTGGTTTTTAGTATATTCACAAGGTTGTGCAACCATAACCACAATCTAATTTTAGAGCATTTTCATCACCCCCCAAAACAAACTTCATACCCATTAACAAGCCCCATACCCACTAACAAACCCCATACCCACTAACAAACGCCATACCCACTAGCAGTCATTTCTCATTTCCGCCCTCACCCAAACCCTGGCAACTACTAATTTTCTTTCTTTCTCTATGAATTTGTCTATTCTGGACATTTCATATAAATGGAATCATACCATATGTGGTCTTTTGTACCTGGCATCTTTCACTTAACATACTGTTTTCAAGATTTATCCACGTTGTAGCATGTATCAGTACTCTGTTCCTTTTTATGGCTGATACCCTTTAACAAGTGGAGGAAATTCCTAGTCTATTGAGTATTTTGATCACGAAAGGGCGTTGGATTTTGTCAAATGCTTTTTCTGTGTTATTGAGATGATCATTTTTTTTCTCTATTCTATTAACATGGTGTGTTATTTGACTGTTTTTTTATGTCAAACCAACTTTACATTCCTGGGGTAAATCTCACTTGGTCATGGTGTATAATCCTTATTATATACCGTTGAATTGGGTTTGATAGTATTTTGCTGAGGATTTTTGCATCCACATTCATAAGGGATATTGGTGTATAGTTTTGTTTTTTTTTTTCCTTGTGATAACTTTGTCTGATTTTGGCATCAGGGTTATACTGACCTCATATAATGAGTTAGAAAGTATTTATTCCTCTTTATTTTTTGAAAGTTTGTGACAGATTGGTATTAATTCTTCTTTAAATGCTTGGTAGAATTCACCAGGGAGGCCATCTGGTTCTGTGTTTTTCTTTATGGGAAGTTTTTTGATTACTAGTTCAATCTCTTGTTATATATTTGTTCATATTTTCTATATCTTCTTGGGTCATTTTTCATAGTTTGTGTCATTCTAGGAATTTTTAAATTTCATTCAGGTTATCTAATTTGTTGGCATATAATTGTTCATAGTATTCCCTTACACTTCTTTTTATTTCTTTAAGGTTGGTGGTAATGTCCCCTCTGTCATTCCAGATTTCAGTAATTTGAATCTTCTCTCTCTCTCTTTTTTTTCTCTTGATCAGCTAAGGTAAAGATTTGTCAATTTGTTGATCTTTTGAAAGAACCAACTTTTGGATTCCTTGATTTTTCTGTTATCTATTTCATTAATTTCCACTCTAGTTTTCATTTCCTTCTACTTGCTTTAGGTTTAGTTTGCTCTTCTTTTCCTAGTTACTTACGGTTAAGATTAGATTACTAATTTGAGGTGTTTTTTTTTTTTTTGGATAGTCTTCAACCACCCCCATAATCATAAGGCAATAATCCATCCCTCACCAATGAAGTGAATAGGAGGGAATTAGAACACCTTTCTTCAGGGTTTGTTGTTGTTGCTACTTGTTGTTTATTTGTTTAGTAACTTTTCAGAACTAATCTGTAAAGCCTGTATTATTTGTCACGTGTGGTGACTGAAGCTTCTTCTCTATTAGCTTGGTGGTCAAGTAATGACTAGAAAGAGATTTCCTAAATGACCGGAAACAATAAATCTCCTAGTATTTGTGAAGGGACTCTGTGTGTGTGTTGGGACCTTCAACACTCAGCCAGGCAGTTGAAAACTGTGTCTTACCCTTCACTTCCTGCTTGTGCAGAGCCTTAAAGTCAATCAGAGGTGAGACCTATGTATGGCCTTTTCACATCTTTCCTGAGCATGCACACAGGCCTAGGTTTGTGAACAGTCTTACACACGTGTATGGCCATCTAGATTCCTAGCAATGTGTCAGAGTTTTTCAAAGCCCCTATGGACATCTCATTCTCTAACTTTTCCTTTTAAGATTTTTTATTAATTTATTGTTTGTCCCAACTGTTAAAAACTGCCTCAGGTGGCCATGAAGTTAAAACATTTGGCTGTAGTTGTTTTCTATCAATACTCTCACAATGGGTAAGCTCTGAGTGAAGACAAATACAGGCAGCCTTGCAAGTGAGGTCTTCCAGGGAACCACCAGACAGAACAAATAATGACAGTTCTTTGGAAATGATGCTTTGAAAGAGATCTCCAGTTCATTTCCTCTCCCTCTTCCTTCCTTCTGCTCCCTCCAATGTCTGATGTCTTCCATGTTGCACCAGGAATGTGGGCTATCATTTTTTTAAGGCTACCATGAAGGTGGAGAGTGGAGGATGAGACTAGGAAAAGTTAAAACACCACAAAGCGGACTATTATTCCCAATATCTAGCTGTTTTTCTTGAGTAAATTCTCCCCAGATTGCTGCAAGCCTTTGGTTAATTTTCAAAGTTCTGAAAAAGTTGATTTTGCAAATTTTGCCAGTTTTCTCATTGCTTTTATGGATATTTTCAGAGACCTTTACTCTACCGCTTTTGCTGATGTCACTCCAGACAGTCTTGAAGTGTTTAATAAAGAATGTTGAATCAGTGAACTTGTAGCAAGCATATCCTGTTGAGGGAAACACAATATGATTCTCTGCTCTCTCTGACTGTTTTGAAACTTTTAGACTCCTCTACACCTTCCTCTTAGCTTCTGTCCTTGGCCTTCTTCTCTTCATCCTACATATACTCCCTGGGCAATCCCATCACATTGGGTGACTCCAGGTGTCACCTTCACAGTGATAGTTAAGTGACTTGTCAGCCCAAACTTTCTCCTTACCACAGTTTACATGATCTTAGCTAAGTTGGCACCTGTGTCAGAAATTCGGTAGCACCTTGAATAACTGGCACAAGAAACCAGATAATCTTGAAGGCATATGAACAAGGGGAGAGGAATAATGACATTCTCATATGTGAAAATAGAAAGATTAATCTGGCAGTGTGTTTTTTATAATAAGATAGTATGAGGGCCTGTGTGTGTGTGTCTGTTAGATGTTGATAATGGCAGAAACAAAGGTGGTGCTGGAACAAGAAGTACAGCTCGAAGTAGTCCGTTCTTCAGATTAGATGACTCTGCACAAAGATGATGGCTGTGGTAAATGCAAAAGAAAAAATGAACACAAGAAATATTACTAAGGTAACTGCATGGGACATGTTGAGTGACAGATAAGGAAAATGGCCAGATGACTAAGCGATTACACAGATTTTAAGTCATCAGGACTGAAAGATTAAAGGTAACATTAGCAGTAGTAAGGATATGATGGAAAATAACTGTACTGGGGGAAATAATATGAGTTTTGTTTTAGAAAAACATCAAACGAGCAGTGTCAAAGAGTTTCCTCTCAACCAAGATGGCATAACAGGGACAAGATTTATCCTTCCACGTGAAAAAAACCAAAAAACTGATTTTAAGGCACTAGACATCAGATAATGAAGGGCCATGATTCCTGAAAACTGGGAACTAAATAAGGTGAGCTGTGGATTTGCTCCAGGTTACTGCCTTAAGAGAATTTCCAGTGCACAACACAGGAAGCAGAATCTCAGGCAGAGCCTTGTGTACTCCGTGAGTTGAAGAGATGGAGCTGAGGGACTGAAGAGACAAAGGTAGCTAGAGGTCACATGACTGAGTACCAAAGAGTAGAAAGCTGTAGAGGACAAGTGAGAGGAAGTATTCAGAGAGATGCAGAGGCTCTTGCTCAAGGATTCAGCAAATTACTTATTAGTACGTGCATATGAGGAAACTACCCAAGGCTAAGGAAGGAACCATCTGAAAGTATTAAAGAGTGCCCAGTGCTTACACAAGGCTTGAATAGCTCTAACCATCCAGACTGGACACCTCAAGATTGGGTGTAATATGCAGAAGGGTCTTACCTTAGTACCAACAACAACAAAAAACCAACCCATTGCCGTCAAGTCAATTCTAACTTACAGTGACCCTATAGGACAGAGTATAACTGCCTCATAGTGCTTCCAAGGAGCGGCTGGTGGAGTCAAACTGCTGTCCTTTTGGTTAGCAGCCAAACACTTAACCACTGCACCAGCAGGGCTTCTTTGCCTCAGTGTGGGGAATAATTAGCCCTTCTCCAAACGCACTCTGGTTTCACCTAACGGATCTTAAAATCAAGACCTGAAAAGATCAACTCTTCCCAAGTTTCCATATCCCTATAAATGCAAAAATATCTACCACCCAGCAAGAAAACATTCACAATGCCAAGTATGCAGTAAAAAATCACCAGGCCTGCAAAGAAACAGAAAAATGAGACTCATAATGAGGAGAAAAGTCAACCAATCAAGACTGGCCCAGGATTGATGCAGATGTTTGAATTAGCAGACATGAACATTAAAACAGTTATTATAACTATTTCATGGTTTCGAAAGTTAAATAGAGACATGGAAGATAGAAAAGAAAAAAGTCAAATTTATGCAGATGAAAATGACAATATCCAAGATGAAAAATATACCAGATATGATTAACGGCAGATTAGAAATTGCAGAAAATAGGACAGAGCAGGACTATCCAAAACGAAACAAATACAGAAAAAGAACATAATACGTTGAATTGTAGGACAACTTCAAGTGACTAATATGCATAATTTAAGTCTCAGCAGGACTGAAGAGGGGAGGGACAGAAAAAAATATTTGAAGAAAAAATATATATGCAACTAATTTCTTATTGTGATAAAAATATATAACAAAACATTTGCCAATTCAATTTTTACATGTGTAATTCAGTGAATTGATTACTTTAGTCATGTTGTACCACCATTACCACTCTCCTTTTCCAAATTATTCCAATGCCATTAATAGAAACTCAGTGCCCCCTAAGCTATGACTCTCCTCCCCACCTCCCCCCAATAACCACTAATAAGCTTTGGTATCTACACATTTACCTATTTCATGTAAGTGGGATCATACAATATTTGTCCTTTTATGCCTGACTTATTTTACTCAGTGTCATGGATTGAATTATGTCTACAAAAAATATCTGTCAACTTGACTAGGTCATGATTCCCAGTATTGTATAAATGTGTACTGTTTTGTAGTCTGATGTGATTTCCTTATGGGTTGTAAACTCTATCACTATGATGTAATAAGACAGATTAGTGGCAGTTATACTGATGAGGTATACGAGATTGGATAGTGTCTTAAGCCAATCTCTTTTGAGATATAAAAGACAGAAGCCAGCAGAGACACAGGGGGACCTCATACCACCAAGAAAGCAATGCTGGGAGCAAAGCACATCCTTTGGACCTGAAGATCCTGTGCTGAGATGCTCCCAGACCAAGTGAAGACTGATGCATCACAAGGACCTTCCTCCAGAGCTGACAAAGAGAGAAAGCCTCCTCCTGGAGCTGATGTCATGAATTTGGACTTGTAGCATACTAGACTGTGAGAAAATAAATTTGTTTTTGTTAAAGCCATCCACTTGTGGTATTTCTGTTATAGCAGCAATAGATAACTAAGACACTCAGTATAATGTTTTCAAGTTTCAACCATGTTGTAGCACATACCATCAAGCTTTCATTTCTCTTTATGGCTGAGTAATATTCCATTGTATGTATGTACCACTCTTTGTTTATCCATTGATGGACATTTGGATTGTTTCCTGCAATTGGTTTTTGACAAAGGTGCAAAGACTGTCCACAAATGCTGCTGGAACTTTTGGATATCTATATGCAAAAAATTCAACTTCATCTATACTTCTTACCATATACAAAAATTAACTAATAATAGACCATAGAATTAAATGTAAAACCTAAAACTATAAAACTTCTAGAAATAAACATAGGAGAAAACCTTTCTGATCTAGTATAAAGCAAAGAATTCTTAAATACAACACCAAGTACAGTCATAAAAGAAAACAAAAGATAAACTGCACTTCATCAAAATTTAAAACTTCTCTTCAAAATACATTGTAAGAGAAGAAGATAGAAGCCACAGACTGGTGGGTGGGTGGTGGTGGGAATATTTGCAACTCAAATGCCTGACAAAGAACTTGTATCCAGAACGTGTAAGGAAGTCTCAAAACTCAATCAAAGAAAATAAACAACATAATTTTAAAAATGGGCAAAAGTTTTGAAAAGACGTTTCAACAAAAAAAGATACATACATGGCAAATAAGCACATGAATAGATGCTCAACGTCATGAATTATTAAGGAAATTCTAATAAAACCATCATGAGATACCACTACCCATCCATTAGAATGGCTAGAATTAAAAGACTGATCATTTCAAGTGTTGGTGAGGATGTGGAGGACTTGGAACTCTCAAACATTTCTTTATAGATCATATAACCACTTTGGAAAACAGTTTGGCAGTTTCTTAAAAAGTTAAATGCGCACATACTAAATGATCTAGTCATTCTACTCCTAAATATAACCCTGAGAGAAATCAAAGCTTACGTCCATACAATGACATGCATGAATATTCACAGCAGCTTTATGTATAATAGCCCCAAACTGGAAACAACCTAATGTCCATCAACAAGCAAATGGATAAATTATTGTACATCCACACAATGGAGTAATAGCACTAAAAAGAAGTGAAATATTGATAAATATGACAACATGAATGAATCTCAATTATGCTGAAAGAAGTTAGATAAAAAAAGGAGTACATATTGTATATTGTCATTTACATAAAATGCTAGAAAATGCAAACTGATCTATAGGGACAGGAAGTAATCAGTGATTTCTTGGGAAGGAGGGAGAGGAGAAAGATTACAAAGCAGCTGCAGGGAACATCTGGGGGTGACAGATAAATGTTCATTATCTTGATTGTAGTGATGGTTTCATGGTTGTATACATAAGTGAAGATTTGTCAAATTGTACACTTTAAATATGTACATCTTACTATATGTCAATTATGCTTTAATAACATTTTAAACATACATTGAATGAGCTGAGTTGAGGGCCAAAAACCCCAAACCCATTGCCGTTGACTAAATTCCAACTCATAGCAACCCTATAGGACAGAGTAGAACTGCCCCATAGGGCTTCCAAGGAGCGCCTGGTAGATTCCAACTGCAGACCTTTTGGTTAGCAGCTGTAGCTCTTAACCATTGCACCACCAGGGTTTGCAAGGTGAGGGCATTTGGGGCTAATTCTGGTGGCCATGGCTTTGGAATCTGACTGGCACTCCTAGGCCAGCTCCATGTGGCTATCTGAATTAGGGAAAGCCCGGAATTAATTTGTTTCTAATAATATGCTGCTGGCTGGTTACTGCCTGTCATGGATTGAATTATGCCCCCCCCAAAATATGTGTATCAATTTGACTGGGTCATGATTCCCAGGCTTGTATGATTGTATACCATTTTGTAATCTGATTGATTTCCTTATGTGTTGTAAACTCTTATCACTATGCTGTAATAAGATACATTAGCAGCAGTTATACTGATGAGGTCTACAAGATTGGATAGTGTCTTAAGCCAATCTCTTTTGAGATATAAAAGAGAGAAGTGAGCAGAGATACATAGGAACCTCATACCACCAAGAAAGCAGTGCCAGGAGCAGAGTGCGTCCTTTGGACCTGAGGTTCCTGCGCAGAGAAGCTCCCAGACCAAGAGAAGATTGATGACATGGACCTTCCTCCAGAGCTGACAGAAAAAGCCTTCCCCTGGAGCTGAAGCCCTGAATTTGGACTTGTAGCCTACTGGGGTGTGAGAGAATAAACTTCTCTTTGTTAAAGCCATCCACTTGTGGTATTTGTGTTAGAGCAGCAACAGATGACTAAGACACTGCCATTCCATTACTTTGGTCACTCTCAGTTCCTACAGAAAAAAAAAGTTAAAATCCAATGAAATTAAAATCGAACATTGTCTTTGTGTATTGTTTTACTTTCAGGTGATTTTACTCATTTCCAGTTGTGCTTTTTCTTCAGGGACAGAGCATTTTCTGTCAGTTCTGTCTGGCCCTCGGATTTTAGTCCTGGGAGGAGAAAGGAAGTGCCTCGCATGTTCATAGTAAGTGTGCAGGCTGCTGTTGGATCACATGATCATATGTTTTGTTTCAGTCCACGTCTTGCCTGTCCACAGAGGTCGAGGCCCCACTGGAGTCAGAGACTTCATAAAAGCTGTGAGAGAATCTCTCTCCCCCTTACTTGCCACAGTAAATCTGCCCACCTGTTCTACCTCAAAGTACTATAGAGAGTTTGTTTGCATGTATCACAGTCTTTCATCCTTCTGGTAAATCCAAGAAGTCAAATGCAAATATTCTACGCTATCATCTACAGGACAGATGTCCCATTCATAGCTGAAAACAAGGTGAGCTTGAAAAGAAAGATGGTATCGAGGGCTGGAAAGAACAGAAAAAAGTGACAGAGAAAGAGAGATGGTTCAAAAGTGATGCACTTCAGGGTCGTGTGTAAGGGGAAGAAAGCTCCTTTGGCGTGGAGACCAGTCTTGTCTCCTTCTGGTGTATCTCAGTGCACCTGCCAAGGGGCTGTGTAGACTACAGGTCAGATGAAAATGCTTGATGAATTAATCCCTGACCTTCAGGACACGTGAATGAATGGCTTCTAGAAATAGAGACACTTTGTAAAATAAGCTTCCTCTAAGGCAATATTTTGAAGTCATCATTCAAAGTCAAATCAAGACCATCACATGGAAAAATTGGAGAATACGTGGTTTTGCAACCTCTTAAAAACTCAGAAGCTTTTCTCTTTAAAAATATTCAAGTGACTCTAGAATGAGATAAATAAAGTGGCAGAAAAAGAAGAGGACTGCTCCTCTCTCATTCAACCCATGTGGTCATAGTCAACCTGTAGATCTTGTATTTAACAAATACAAGATCAGACAGAAGTATTAACCAAGTATTAACAAAGACCAGGCAGAAGTATTCTTAGTTGCTCAGTCCAAAGATATAAAACTATATTTAGACTCTGCCGAACCACTAAGGGATCCTACAAAGGCCTGGCTATCCGTGACTGCTTTACATGGTGGGAATTTATTTCATTGCTTAACTAATGTTAAGCTTAACTGATGTTTAGCAGGAAAAGTCTATATTTTGCTAGCCTAATGATGTGTTTTTTATTTTAAATTTGATTTGTCATTTACTAATAATGGTGTAAGGAGCCCTGGTGGCGCAGTGGTTAAGTGCTCGGCTGAGAACCCAAAGGTGGATGGTTCAAACCCACCGGCTGCTCCATGGGAGAAAGATGTGGCAGTCCGCTTCCTTAAAGGTTACAGCCTTGGAAACTCTATGGGGCAGTTCTACTCTGTCCTAAGGGCCACTCTGAGTTGGAATGATGTGATGGTGTAAATTATAGGCATGTAGCAGCCAGAAAGCATAAGTATCTGTGAACATTTCTAACAAAACAAACACTTGAGCATTGCACAACATCACAATCATAAGATGATTGCAATTGCAAGACACACCACTATTTCAAAGAAAGGAAAAGGTGTAAAAATTGTGTCTTAGAATTGCTGAAATGTGGAAGTTCAGAGGGCGGGTTACAAGGTCAGACTGACTGGGTTCTACTCTGTGCCTCTGTTTTTCACACCTGGGAAATGGAGAGCAGAGTGGTCCTTACCTGGTGAGGTTTCTGTGAGGGTTAAATTCCTGTAGGTAAATTTCTGAGAGGAGTTACTAGTACAGAATCACAATACATGGTAACCATTTTCACTTACCACCGCCCTTCTGTCAGTTTGTCATACTGCGGTGGCCTGAGTTCGCTACTACGCTGGAAGCTATGCATCAGTATTTCAAATACGAGCAGGGTCACCCATAGTGGACAGGTTTCAGCAGAACTTTCAGACTAGATAGTCCCCTGAAAATTAGCCCATGAAAACCTCATGGGGTCCCAACGGAACATTGTCCAAGTCACTTGCTTTGGACACGTTATCAGGAGGGATCAATGGGTAGAGAAGGACATTGTGTTTGGTGAGGTGAAGGGCCATTGAGGGCAAGAGAAACCCTCAGTGAGGTGGACTGGCTACGCCATGCTCGCGATTGGGATGATGACACAGGACACAGGACGGGGCAACATTGTTCTCCGTTGTACATGGTGCCACCATGAGTCAGAGTCAATATGACAGCTAACAACAGCAATTACGTTTTTGTTTGATGAAGTGCAAGTGTATTATTTAGAGATAGTACGCCAGCATTTTATGAGGGTTAAAATTGACGTGACTCTGCTACTGTACAGAGTATCTGACACTTGTTTTTGGCCTTGGTTCTAATGCTCAACCATTCCTTCTACTAGCCAGGAAGAGGGTAATAATATTAGAGGTGTCATTTACTGATGCTGAGTTGAATGAAAATGCTGAGCAGGCTAGCATAAAGTGTCTGCTTTCTTATAACATAGATATTCTTTAAATTGTTCTAGGTCACAGCTTCCCAGCTCTCAGCACCTAGTAATAAATATTCCATCCCAATATTAGCAGATAGCGAGAATGAGAAGAGGGAGTGGGTGGGAGTGCTGAGTGAACTGCACAAGATTTTGAAACAAAGTCATTCCAGAGACCGCTCAGTGTACGCTCTGAAAGAAGCTTATGACAGCAGTCTACCTCTCATCAAAACCACCCGGGCAGCTGCCATCATAGGTATGGATTTATGACATTTATCCAACCAGGTTCCTATCCCTCACCCACAATTTCAAAACAAGTATCTGAAAACCTGAAGTTTATTCACAACTAATTTGGCAGCAAACCCTGACTTGAACTGACAGGAGGCCATCGATAACACTTTTTCTCCTTCATATGACTATTCATAGGATCCTCTGCAAAAATATTAATGTGTTTGATTACATGATGGTTCTCCAGGCTCTGCTGGGGGTACTGTATAACAGTGTTTGTGTATGTACAAAAATGCCTTTTTCAGTAATTCTTGCTGTATTCTTCCATGCACCCCAACGCTCTTACCTTTCAGGCCCAGATCACTGACAAAGTAAATTATAATTTTTTTTTTCATTCATGAAGCAAACACTTATTTACCATCAGTTTGAAAGCAAATCATGACTTGAATATCATTCTTTCTTCAAGTATTAATAAATATTACTCTATAGTGATCATTCTCTTGAGAAACGCTATGTTTTATTATGCTTACTTCCATAATCTGAAAGAAAATGTGATTAATTATTAAATGCAATTTAGTCTTTTTATATTTTTCATTTTTATATCTGTTAAATCTGTACTTAATTGGACTTTTCATAAGCTTTTTCAGTATTGATAAGTTTGTCCACTTTATCTTACTAGCTATATTTAGTGTTTGGGGGGAGAAAAGCTCAACGTTGTTATTTATGTGTCAAATGTAGATCACAAAAGAATCGCTCTGGGAAATGAAGAAGGGTTATTTGTTGTGCACGTTACCATAGACGGTAAGGAGAGTCTTCACCGTTGTGAAATAACTTGAAACGCCAATAATAATATCAGCTTTGCTCTCTATTTTTCTGTAAAGAAAACCTTCCACATCTGGTTCGATGTGTCTTCAAGTCAAATGATGATGTTTCTAATTTCCAGAGTTCCATAATCCCCCTCCCAAAAAAAAAAAACCCAAACCCGTTGCCGTGGAGTAGATTCCGACTCATAGCAATCCTATAGGACAGAGTAGAGCTGCCCCATAGGGTTTCCAAGGAGCAGCTGGTGGATTTGAACTGCTGACCTTCTGGGTAGTAGCCTGAGCTGTTAACCACTGCACCACCAGGGCTCCTAGACTCCAAATATCTTTGTGGTTGATTTTATCTAGTAATTCTGCTCTAAGAATTTAGATTACAATCTTAAAGTTGGTACAGAAAAGAAAATGCAATTGTGCTCGATTTTTTTCCCCTACCATTATAGTCACACCAGAAAGAGTAACAACATAACATTGGGTCTTTCCCAGGTCAGAAAGCAGGGTTCATTGTTTATGTTTGCTTTTATGGTTTTTTGAGGGAGAAATACTGAACTCGAAATAAAAAGGAGTCATTCTAATATAGTTGGCCCTCTTGAATGTATTAAATCCTGATGCTAGGTTAGATAAAGGAGGACCCTATATCTGAAGGACGTTAGCTACACTGTTCATAGAAAGTTGTTCCCTGGAGTACTGGTGACTCTGTCCCCTGCGTAAAGAAGTCCATGCAAGGGACTTGTTCTCTTTTTGTTCACCGGTGTACCCTGAGCACTTAAGTGTACTTGGTACATAGTAGGCACTCAACAAATATTGGTGGAATAAAGGAATCAGTTTAGTGCCAGAAGAAGAATAAAAGATAACCATATCTTTTTCTCCTAAAGAGACTGAGTGTTTCCATTTGTCAGATATTGAAAAGTGTTTGCCTTGCTTTGTAGAACCTCAGGTAAGTTTAGTACTTTATTGTGGTAATTTTATCTGGAATTATTAAGGTAATTATATTATTGCTGGAATAATCATGTTCATTTTACATATATGATTTATGATCTCTTATCCTTCTGTTCCTATCCTTTTCTATCCTTCTCAAACCTACCCTGTGAGTTTGTGTCTTTAATTTTATTAGAACCTGGATTAAATCCATTGGGGGTAATAATTGGGAGAGAATTGAGAGATAAGACAAAGTTGTTAATTTGACATTGTGACTCGCCATTATTTTTATTTGGAGGGAAAAGTATTCAAGATGATGATATTAAGATTGATTAGATCATTTTTATTGGAACCTTTCTTCAGTGCTTTTGGGTAAATCTGGGAGAACAGTCAAATAAATAAATAGAAATTACTTGGGATTTGAAATGACTTACATTTATGTTTATTTGTGTAGAAATTATCCGAGTTGGTGACATTAAGAAGATTCATCAGATTGAAATTATCCCACATGGTCAGATCATTGCAGTGATCTCAGGACGAAATCATCATGTCCACCTCTTTCCCATGTCCGCTTTGGATGGACAGAAGACTGATATTCATAAGCTGGCAGAAACCAAAGGGTGCCAGACCATCACTTCTGGAGCAGTGTGCCAAGGAGCCCATACATACCTCTGT